AAAACATGTCGAGAACTTGGTGTAGCTATTGTTTGTTATTCACCTTTGGGTCGTGGTATACTCAGTGGACAGATTAAAAGCCTAGATGATATAGGAGAAGATGATGCTCGAAGAATGTGGCCACGTTTTTCAAAAGAAAACTTTCCAAAGAATCTTGAATTAGTTAATCAATTAACAGCATTAGCTAAACAAAAAGGTTGTACAACAGGTCAACTAACATTAGCATGGATACTTGCTCAAGGTGATGATTTTATTCCAATTCCAGGCACATCAAAAATAAAAAACTTAGAAGAAAATGCAGGAGCAGCTCAAGTTAAATTAAGTAAAGAAGAAGTCAAGGAAATTCGTGATGCCTGTGAAAAAGCTGATGTACAAGGTGATCGTTACGATCCACGATTTAGTGCTCATCTATTTGGTGATTCTGCTCCAAAGAAGAATTAGATTGATTATATTATTTATTTGATATTATTTCTAAATTAAGAGTGACATTAAAAGACTTTTGTCCGGTGATAACTTCTTTCCTATCAATTTTTTTCTTTATATTTTATATCATGCTACGTAATTTTTAACTTAGTTCTAACGATTTAACAGTATTAGATTTATGAACACGTTGAATAGAATATAACAAAACTAGTTTAAAAAATTATTTTAAATAATGTCATAGAACAGTGAAATGAATTAATTTATTGACTATAATTATATACATATTTCGACTAAAAATATCAATTGTTGAGTATTTCCTTTTATTGATTAACGTATTTTCAATTTTTCTAAAAATACTTTTACAGTAAAAATTTTGAGATATGAAAAAAATTCTTCTTATGAGAATAATAGATCTTTTCTTTTGTGGACTTCTAAAACCAGATACATTCCCGTATAGTTTATATTATCTGTTTCAAATTATTAGAATTACAACTCATTACCTAATTTTTATCCTATCCTTAGAGAAAATATTGAATTCATGGTATCCATATACTAAAAATGCCTTAGTAAGATACTCGATATGAGTATTTCGACAGTTCTCAGAAATTATACAAATTTAGGTAATACATATTTGTTACTCATAACAGTATATTCATACATAAATCATATGAGCAACTCGATAAAACATAATAAACTATAATTTTTCTAGATTGTTTTTTAATCGAGAAAACGTCAATCTTGATCATAAATTGATAGAGGAATATCATAAAGTAATTCAATGGAGATTTGATCTGATCCTAAAATAAAATCTGCGAATGAAAAAAAAAAAAGTTATGCCGATGAAAGAAATATTAAACATATAAATAAATGACATATTTTAATATAAATTAAAGTTTCACTGTGTTATAATCAATAGAATAGATTTTAATTTGAAGAAAACTTATTCGTTTTATAATTTATATCAAAAAAAAAAGAAAAATAAAATTTATATAACAAATAAAATAAATGAAAATGAACAAATTATTGTTTTCTATTCTCTTTAATTCTCTGATAAGTAATATCAAATATTGGTTCATGAATTGCTCCACTACGATGATAATGAGTTTTTGTATTAACATATGGAGTAAGTTGTTCAAATGCATCTCTTAATTCTTTTGTTGCTTTTGTTCTTTCTTCTATAAAATTATCTATTTGATCTCCCTGAGCCCATTTTTGAGTTATATCAAGATATTTTTGTGCTGCTTTTCGATGTGTTTCTTCTGCTATTATTTTTCCTTGTTTATCATTTTGAAAAGTATTTAACATAATTAAATCTTGATCCGTAGGTGGAATATAATTAAAATTTGCTTGAGTACCATTTAATTGTTTTGGTAACATTGATGGATCAATATATTGAAATAAATCATCCAGATTATTTATAAAATGTATTTTACTTTCAACAACAGGATCTAACCATGGTTTAATAATATACCAACAACCATTAAATATCCATGGTGCATTTATAATAAAACCAAGTGCAAATGATTCTGGATAATAATTTTGAAGAAGATGAATAAGAAATTTTAAATGTGGATAATCCATATTTTTTAAACCAAAACCAGTCATATCAAAAATAACTGTAACAGATTCATTGGGTGAATGAAGTAATTTTCGACCTATTTCCATTGTAAAAACTGTTAGTTTTTCAGTAGATTCCAATGGAAATTGACCTTTTATATGATCTTTAACAGAAACATAATTTATTGGACGACCAACTTTATCATGACCCATAAAATAACTTTTGCCCGTTTGAATTTCTTCCGAACAAAGATCTGTTTCACCTTTAGCTAAAAGTTCTTTTACACCCCATTCATGTCTCCATTTAATTGTATCGATAAATTGTTGAAAAGCACCATTTATATTCCATTTTCTTGCTCGAAGCCATCGAAGTAAAATCATATCTGGATTATCATAACCACTTGCAAGAAATATTTCTATTTCATACATAGGATCAATTTTATTTTCCGAATCACGAATATATTTTATAAGCATTAACCAAAAACCTTTAAGTGCTTCGAATTGATTCTTATCAAGATTATCTAAGAGACAAGAATTCATTTTTTTTTATTAATTAATCAATTCGACTTACTAATATGTCCTGGATCATTTGTACTCATTTCTTAGATTTCAAATATATAAATCTAAATAAAAAAATAACATATATATTTCTTTCATTTTAAGTGAGAATTAATTCTATGTCGACTGATATTTAATAGATGAACTTATGGAATATTAATATTCACATTCCTGAGCATTTCATTTACAAGCAACAAGAACACATCTGGTACTACATTTTTCAGTATTTTTTTTTTAGTTCAACAAAGAATTTATATACTTGTGCTTATCGTTTTTACATGAGATTGTTAGACAGACATTCCCATTCTGAAGAACGCTTCAGTTTGCATTGCCTGTTTGTAGGAATAAAGCTAGACTATAGCAGCCTTATCGCGTCCCTTATCAATAAGGAAGGATATGTAAGTCATGTTCTGAGGAATAGAACGAGAACACGATACCCTTAGTTATAGTCAATTAAAAAACGATTTTGTTATATTTTCAACAAAAAACCATATGATACATTTTGCGTATTTTAAATTTTTCACGATAAAAAAACAATACTTCAATATATCACAACTGATACTCTCCAGAAGGAATAACTTCCTAATTTTCATTAAGAAAATACTATTTTTTCAATAAAAATAAATTTGTCATACATATATTCATGTTTTTTGATAAGATTAACTCTCGTGTTTTGATATAATATTTACACAATTTGCTTTTAGTCGTAACACCTTTAAAAAGAAGCACTTTGAATGCGTTTTAATGAAATCATTGTTATTCAAAGTAGGACAAACTTTATTTGATTGATTTATTATTAGTTATGCAATTGGACGATTTACAACTACGCGGTATAAATTGTGTTTTTAAATAAAATAAAAAATTGTTCTCAATGATCTTTTCAACTTAAAATAATGATAAAAATAGAAAATAAATGCTTCTATATAAACAGCTTACCTTTTATGTTTATGACGATTCACTCCTAAAGTAACTCGATGTGTCCTTCATATGCAAATAAACATCTAATTCGGTTTTTTCGTTCTTTTCTTCAACTAGTATATGAAACATATCTTCCACGTGTGAGAAATAACTGCAAATATATATATTTATATATTACTTTCGAAAATACGCTTTGTATTATAAAGCTTAAAGATATTATTGTATTGAAAATCATAAAGATAAATATTTATTTCATTTTATTCAAATTTTTAGTAATTCTATACAGATTTTTACTTCTAGTAGATTTTTTTTTGTTCAATACTGAGATAAGATAATAGTGTTAGTAAAGAATAAATATTATTGAAACAAATATTCAATGACAGATGTTTAAAAATAAATAATAGTTTTTAAGTTTTATCTATGTGAATAATTTCTCATTCATTATTCAATTCAATTCTGTATTTACAATTTTGTTTTTATAAAATAAAAATTTATTAATTATACAGAAGGCTTGAATAACAAAAAAGAAACTAAGTTAATAATGAATATTATTTTTGTTCATCTTCCGTTTTAATTGGTAAAACTCCCATTTTTTGTAAAACTCCTTGATCATAAAACCAAGCAATTAATTCATTAAAATTAATTTTTCCATCATGACTTCGATCAATTTCATCAAATTGATTTGCGTGATATTCTTCCATGATTTTGTCTTTAATTAAATGTTTAAAAAGTTCTTGAAATTGTTTTTTATCAAGTTCACCATGATTTTTTTTATCATAAGAACGAAATAATTCAGTTATTTTATGTAATTTATCTAATTGATCATCAGATAATAATAAATGATCAAAACGTAATGGATTTTGCCACCAAGCTGCAAATTCTTCATAATTTATTTCACCACTTCCATCTTTATCAATTAAAGTACATGCCCATTCAAATTGAGCATCAGATAAAAAATGTCCCATATCATAACAAAGAAAACGAAGTTCACTAATAGATATTAAACCTATAGATAACTGATATTTAATCTTTAAAAAATATATAGTAGAATACTAACCACTGTGATCTGTATCATATTTATTAAATAATAATTGTGAAACTGGTTTTGTTCCACCACCAAAAGCAAATAATTTTGGTGATAATACAACAGCAATTTTCTTTTTTAATGGCGACAACTTAGACATATGCTGATTTGCTTGTAGTATACTGTATTACAAAAAGAGGAAAGAGTACTAATAATAAATGCTACAACATACGACTCTGAATATCTGTCATCGTTTCTTTCTTCTCTTCTTTTTATCATATAGAGAACAAATATATCCATATGCCTACGACTAACAAGAATATTATAGTATATGCGTGGATGTGTGCGGACATATTTCAATCAAATCAAGACTTAGAATGTTTGTTACTTTTAAGATAAGTAATTAGGAAGAGAAGAACAAAACTTCAACAACATATCTTATCAATGTTATTTTTAAATATAAAACTAAAAATATCGATTAGATCTTTTTTTTATAGATACTAATCTAATATTAAATCAAAATGAGTTAAAGATAGGAAAGTTTTCATTTCTTAGTAAAGCCTTTTATGTGAATTTTAATATCTTCATTAGATGATTTATAATTTGTTTTTTGTTAATGAACTATCCAACAGTATATTATTTGTACCATGTGTAAATAACAGAATATTCTTCAAGGTTTCTAGATAGAATAGCGAATATGATCGTTATGACAAGTATGAGAATTATACTAAAAGTGGTACAACTCTTTTCTTCTCTAATTGTATCAACTGAATATGTAGAGTTGAATTTTAATAGAAATATAGAATATCTCTCGTTTTAAATAAATATTCAAATTTATTTATTAAACACCTGTTCAACTAAATATATAGACAGAAATAATAGATTTTTTATAGAATATAGTTAATAAAAAAAATTATGAATACATATGAACGAAAATAATTTCGATACTTTAATTTATTAGAAGTATTTTAGTTTCATTTGGTCAAATTGATCCAACAAAAGACTTCGGTTGTGCTAATTGTTGATCTGTAACATTACTATTAATTATAATTGCATTATATCGTTATTCCTTTCTAGGGATTTAGTCCTCACTGCCTTTCAGACGATAACGAAGAAAACTTTTGTTCTTGATTGTTACACCTGAAAGTCTTTCAGATGAATCAAAAGCCAAATAGAGTACAATTACACGCTTTTTAGATAGAAAAAGATGAGATTATTTTTGAAAAATTTGCAAAATTAATCTAGAGAACGTGGTGTGGGTGATGCAAATGTGTCTATTTGGTTCTCATTTAATATGAACCACACCCTCAATCAATTACATGATCGCCCAATGAAGAATTTACTCATATACTTTGAAAATAATTAATTCGTAAAATGTATACAAACGTCATGCATGCACGAACAACGTGTGTGTGAATGAGAATATCAAAAGCAAATGCTAAAAAAAGGTTATTCATACAACACCCATTTAGTAGTGAATTAACATACTAAATTTAAAAAATAAATCATATATCAAATGTTCATGGATAATGAATATCTTTTAATATTTGTCTTTTTTTGATTTAATTTTAAAATATTCGAAAACTCATTATGATGAATCAATGTTGATTTTTTCGAAAATAACACGTGTCATTGATTTCATGCAAGGCAAATTACCTTATTAAAAACAAAAATAGCAAAGAAAAAAATATACTAAAAATATGAGACCACGTTTCTATTACCTGTGTTTTTTCTTACTAATAAACATTACGGATTCTAATCAATATAATCAAACCCGTTAGAAAATATGCTTTATTGACTTCAAAAATCGAATATTTATTTGTTATTCTCTAGAATGGGTATGTATGCACTATATGTTCATAGAATATATTTTTATGTAAGACTATACTTCTCTAATTATTATTCTAAAATTTTATTTTGTTGTATTTTATCGAACATATATATCGATATCAATAATAGTTAAATCGTATAAAAAGATATAACTGCATGAAGATGAATTTAGCGGTTCCTATCGCCATCACGTTGCCATCTTTTGTTCTTTGTTTTTATTCGTATAAGAAAACAACCAACAGGATCTTTTTCATTATTTATTCTCTATGCCATTACGATTACGATACAATCGCGCTATTGCTACTCGAATGCGTCTTCTGATGGCGCTTATTTTTTTGTTAAGTTTATTAGCATTTGGTTATCAATATTCTCATGGTTTAGATTTACCTAGTTCATCAAAAAATGATTTACAACAAAACTCCTTACAATTACAATATGCTCAAATATTAAAAGGTTTAATTTCTTTTTTTTTATTTTTTATTAATGGAAATTACCAGTATAGTGTCGTTTTCTTCGATATCTATAAATAGAATGATATATATAAATAATTGTTTTTTTCTTAGCCAATGTTAATATCCACATATTTATAAAGCTAGTTCGTTTTTCTGTATTAGATATTTTCCTTATATATTAGATTATATTTGTTTTTTTCTTAGAAAAACGGTCAGCAACTGAAAAAAAACTTGCTCCTTATAATGCCATAGTTGGTATAGCGTCATCAAATGTGCCAGCGTATTCAAATGGTAATGATTCATATATTTCATACCAAGAAAGTTATCTTGATGGAGTTTATATGGGAATAAAATGGCAATGTGTTGAATATGCACGTCGATGGACATATATACGTAAAAGTTCAGTATTTAAAAGTATTGAAGGAGCAAATGATATGTGGAGTCAATTAACATACGTTGAAAGAGTAGCAGATAAAAAACAGTTTCCATTGAAAAATCATCCAAATGGTTCTCCAAATCCACCAATAAATGAATCATATCTTATTTATCCAATTCAAAAGGATATGCCTTATGGACATGTTGCTGTCATCGTTGATGTTTTACCAAATGCTATAAGAATTGCTGAAGAAAATTTTTATTTTCATTATTGGTCACGTAATTATGCTCGAGAAATTCCTGTTGTATTTAAAGATGGTCGTTATTTTATTGATGATAAATATTCAATTTATGGATGGATGGAAATTGACGATAATAAACAATTACAACCATTGGATAAGTATATAGACAAGAATCTTCAAACAAAAACTGACCCTATTATAAATTCTATTTCTTCTCATACACATATTCATATTTATTTATTTATTATTTTTCTATGCTTATGTTTGTTTTATTTAATATTATATTGAAGTTTATTTTTAAATTATTCAAATAAAATTACCTCATACCAATAGTTTATAATTTACAAGTTTAACATTATGGTTATTTTATACTGATATTATTTAAAAAAAAATTCCAATGCTGATGTGTATCAATTTGACATTCAATTGATTAGTCTCGAGGTAGAAGATATAAAAAGTACATTCCATCAAGTAAATCCCTCCATCGAAACGCTTCGACATTTGATCGTATATACGAATATCAATAATGTTAATCTGAGAAAAAATAACAGATGTCTATACAATATTGTCATTCAATACATTGTTTTAATATATTCATGTAATTGTAATGACAAAGTTTCGTAAAGGAAAAATAAAATCGAGTTTATTTGTGCTAATTAATGTAGAACATCCTTGTTATATAGATACTTAGAATAAAATATGAAATGCAGAGTCTGACTATTTATAACAGAGCATCCGTTACTTTTTGCAACTGCTTGCATGTTTTTATTTTTCGTTGTCTTTCATATATCTATATGGAACTGGAGAATAGGCACACAAAAATCTATGCATGTTTTTCTAAATTTCACTCACAATTATTCGTCAAGATAGATTAGATTTTCAGAGTCTCATTGAAGTGCTCTATTTTAAGTTTTAATATTCCTAATTTTTTGTTTGTTTCGTATGTCAATTATTCGCTAATACATCATAGATGTTATTAAATATTTTAAATTTAAGAGCAACATGTGTAAATATTCAAAAATACTTTTTTACTTGAATTGAATAAAATATTGGTAATAGATGTTAATTGTTCTTCAAATAAATTAATTATAAAATCATGTATGACTATTGCAGGGAACGAGTACAAAATAAAGAATTATTCTCACTATATATAGTTCTAGTAGAAAAATATATAGGTTGAAATATTTTTGCACTTTAGTTCACAAGATTTTATGAAAGCAATTTTTTATAACTATGATAATAGAAGAGGAAACAATATGAATAATATTCATGATAAAAGAAAATCATAGTTTTTAGAACGATTATAAATTATTCGTTGGCACATACACATGCAATGTACGGCAGTTAGTTACATATTATTTATCTATTTACTAACTCCTACATTGCATATATTTCAATATTCAAAGAAACAAACACTTTATCGATAGTCGTAAATATTATGTATGGAATCTCATAAATCTGTTGTTCGTGTTAAAAATTACCGAGAGATTAGTCCATCTCAAAAAACTCATAAAACAAAACAAAGAAAAAAAACAAAATCCAGGTAAAATTATTTTAAAAGAAACTATTTATTAAATATTTATGCTCTCAAATAATATTTTTCGTCATGTACGATTTCATAGTAAAACATTTTTTGTACTATTAGTTAAACAAAAGAGGGTATAGAAACAAAAAAAAACAATATATTGTATGCTATTTTTGAACTAGGACGAAAAAATGTCGACCATCCATAACAAAAAGCATACAAATAACATCTGAACCTCATCAATCTGTAAACAAATATAATTCAAAATCATGTAATGCTGAGCAGGCAGCTGTATTTGAACAAGAAGAAACTGAACGTCAAGAGAATATGAATACAATTGCAGTATATCTCACACAATTAACGGTAATATATTCAATTATTTCTATATTTTGATTTCTTTGATAAAAATATCAGACAACGAATTACTCGTTGTTTATTTTCTTACTGGAATATGTCGTTATTAATTAATCGAATTAAGTAGATAAAGTAAAATTTTTATATAATACTTAGACAAATCTGAAAAGGAAATAATCTTAAAAATTATCTCTTATATTTTTATATTCTTTTTGATAAAGATCGATGAAAAAGATGTGATTCAACATTCGCAAAGAGATGAATTAATCAATTTCCCAAAGGATAAATACATAGATCATGGTATAAGTTCAATAGTCAAAAGAAAATTCATTTCATCAGCAGAAAACGAACAAAAGGTGATGCGTTTAAAAGCAAAACTTGAATATGATAATGAATTAAATATTACTGGTATTTTAAATTTATCTTCGATGAATTTAATTGATAATGATTTATCATTAATTACACAACGATTATTTCATAGTGAAAAAAAAACATGTACTGGTCTTATTCTACGTAATAATATCTTATCATCAGATGGAGTAAAAATACTTGTCGATAATTTACTTATGAGACGAATAAAGTTGAAATGTCTTTGTCTTTCAAACAATTCAGATATAGATGACATTGGAATTGAATATTTAGTTCGTTTATTACAAGAAAATCATTCACTTACAATCCTCTCCTTACCTTATACGAATATAACAGATCGTGGTGTTCAACTATTAGCTAATGTTCTTTCTGGTATTAATACTGATTTATCCTGTTCTCCTTTAGAAAAATTAGATATTTCTTTTAATAAATCGATTACTGACGAATCTACAGAAGCTCTTATGCAAATAATTGAACAAAATCAAACATTGAAAATACTTGGATTGCAATATTGTAATTTATCTGATAAAGCTCGATTACAATTAAGACTAGCAAGTATAAAAAAGAAAAAAAGAAAATTTCGACTTTTATTAGCGTGAAAAATTTTATGTGAAATGTTTCGTTTGTCTTGCGTTATTTTTTTGTATCATCGTGAATTCTATTATTAACTTTTCATTAATAATTGTAGATTATAATAATAAATCAATTATTTGAAATCATCAACATATATGTCTATGATGGAATTATGTTGTAGTAGTTTACCGTACTGTCATTGTTTATATTCTTTTATTAAGTTACATTGTTGAGTTATCTGATTGTTTTTGAGATTTTCTGATCATCCCAATAAAAGTTTGACATAGTCAAATTTTATGAGAATGATGAATGTTTTATCAATATTGCAACTTTGAATTTACAACGCTGAGAAAAATTATATCGAATATTTTATATATAATAATTCAATATAATCAATAAGATTATTGAAACAATTTCATCGATTACATGAGTAATAAATGTTAAATATATCGAAATACTCGAATAGATTTCATTCACATAATAACACTTCATAATAAATAATTATAAAGCAACAGTATTTAATGATATTTTTAATAATAAGTTATATTGTCTTATTTGGTGGCATAGTGTTACCACTATCGTTGGTATATGATGTTTACTTCACTACTTCATAATCAAAGTGTGTAATTCTTTTCTTTTACACGTATTTCTATAATAGTTCAAATGAGTTACTTGTTACGCATGAGAAGAGAACAGAACAGAAGATGATACGAATGTGCACACATACCGATCGAGATTATAACACAAGGAGATGAGAAAGATATTTCAATACGAAACAAGAGCGATATCTTTTCAACAACGATTGCTATATCATTCTTACGTTGTACCTTCGATCGTTATATGTGCATATTCATATTCTCTTCCGTTCTCTTCTCTGCTCATGTGTAACGAGTAACTCATTTTAACTACTATATATGTATATTGTAAAAAGAAGAAATAAAACAACTGAATAACGGAGTAGTGAAGTGAACATTATATACCGAGGAGAGCGGTAACACTACTCCACCATAGATGAAATAAATGGTACAGCTGTAACGAATATTTACCTGTTTCTTTCTAAAATTCGTTACAATCCTGAATGATAATTCATTATAATATGAATATAGGTAAACATGGATATCTTTTGTTATAATGGAAGGTCAACTTCCAATAATTTGTTAGAATCAGTGGCTATTGTAGGCATCGCCAATGATTTATGACATGTATTAAAACATAGTTAAGATGTGGATGGTGCAATTTCACGTGATCGACTCGATCTCAAGTTATATTGTGCTCATATGCTTAGCAAACATAATGATGGACAATTCCGACAGAAACCTATTCGTCGAGGACATTCCCCGTCAAATAATCAATGAGATATGTTTGAACCAAGTTTCTTTGGTCTGCCCGATGTTACGGCAGACAGTATTGATCCATGTCAACGACTACTCATGTTCAAGTTTGTTCAATTACTTAATGGTACTGGATCTAGTATGGAAAAAATAAATGATTCAAGAGCATCTGTGCAAGGGAAATGACGTTTCATACCACCTTTTCATTCCGAACACTGAATAGTGAGGGTGTTCGGAAAGGGTGGCATGAAACGTCATTCACCCTCTGTGCACATTAGACAGTCTTCTTTAGATCATGCTATAACATCATTCCGCATGAAGTCTGAACATCAATCGAGATCAACAAGCACAAATTCTACATTTGACTGAAAGCAAACTTAAATTGACTCGTGAACTTAATTGTACACAAGTTGCTTTGAACAAAACAATAGCCTTGGTAAATCAACACGTAGAAATTTTACGGGAACATGCAGATGCTCTTCGAACAGTTATGTCACAAGCAGCCTTTTTAAGTTCCAAATTGGCATCTGTCGTACACACCATGGCAACACATTTTATTCATACTTTAATTGGACTAATTATTCGATTACTCATTCGACAACAAATTGATTTCCTACCGGGCAAGACCCTTGATTCAAATGATAATGGTCTATTAATAGGAAAACTAGTGTTTACTTCATAATTTGCAGCACCATCCCAAGATTAGGCTCCATTTTCGGTTTATGAATTAGTCCCAATACCATTTAACTACAATAATAGAAGAGTTTGGTTAGCTCAAGTGCCAGCGTACTTAGGGACTGAATCCAAATCACAACAAGTTATTCGCTAGTCAAAAGAAGAAGCTACTACGTGTGATTTCACACTGATGTCTTCATGTAGAGAAACTCCACCCACACTGACACTCTCATCCTTATTTTGTGTGTATATTATTTACGCAAATAAATATTATTAAATTTATAACGTTATATTTTAAAATTAATTAACTATTAACATTTTCTAACTATACTCAACAAGAAACTTTACAACAACAATAATACAAATATTTCGTTACACTATTATCTCTCTCACTTTTGATCTCTCTACTACTATTTCCTCTCTTTGTCTTTCTTGTGGTTTTCTGAAAGTATACATGATGGAGTTATTTTGAATAAGAGACACAGAATTGAATCGGTACAATCGTAAAGCTTACACTCACACCCACATCCTAAAAAGAGGTGTTTTTTAATTCATATTGCTGAATTACAAGAAGTAAAAGATGATATTGAACAACAGTTATCGAGAGATATAAATGACAATCAAAATCTTCATGATCAATATGAATTAATGATTAAAATCTTAAAGTATATCAATTAATCTTATCATCCGATCATGAAACATCATCGAATAATGTAAATCTCAATTTATTTCATTTCGTATTTGAATTTCTCCTTCAGTCTTAAGAACCTGACCACATTAGGGTGCGGGTGTGATAGTGGGTGTAAACGGAAAGAACATCTACATTCACATTCGCACCCACACTCACCCATAGCCTCAAGATTCTAATTCCGCTAGGGTGCGAGTGTAGGGGAAAGTGAAGATAAAAGTATCACTTTGCTCTCACTCATCCTGCACTCACGTCCTCAAAGAAATTAACAGAAATTGGTTTATTTTTCTTATGTTTTCTTATTGTTACAACTTTTCTCAAGTTAAAAATTTTTTAGCCCATCGATAAAAACGTTGTCCCTTTTCTTCCAATGTTTTTTTCAAAACTGATCGATTTTGCCCATTTGTCTGAAAATCCTGACTACCCCACTGTAAATAATTACAGCATGGTCTGCCAATCCACATATATGATAGCTGACACTCAGCACCACAGCCATCGTACTTGTCGCCGGACATGATAGTAGTATTGTCCATTTGAAAAAGAAAGTTCATATTTAGTTTCGATGTATTTTTTTTTAACCATTTATATTGATTTTCTGGAAAAGTGCCTATTACATATTGATATTCAATCATTGACAATTTTAGTAAACGTTTTAATAGAAACAATAAATCATCTGGCTTTTCGAATGAGCATTGAAGCTGTTCAAGATTTGAAAATCTTTCACAGAACAATTTTCTGCGCTAAGGCTTTATGAATGACCAACCAGGATCTGAATAAATATTCAAATTTTTAATTTTTTCATTTAAATATTTGCATAATTCAGCATCATCAAGAAATAAAATTAAGAGAGGAGCATCAATTTTCATTGATGATAATTTTGGAGCTTCCTTTAACATCTGTAACATTATTGCTGATGATTCTATTTGAATACCTCTCAAAATGCATAAATGTGTTAGATTCGATAAATTGACAATAGCTTTCATATATTCAATGTGTTGAAATTCAAATTGACGATAAACACGTTCGCCATAGAATGTATACTTATTCATTAATGTTGTTGATTCCACTGTTGGAAAATAATATGGATAATCGTTTTTTAATGCATCGATTACCAGAATCAAATTCTTAGCATTATTAAAAATGCCTGAAGTATGTATTGTCGGATTAGCATGTTTATTTTCAATAGGTATTAAATTATAGTGATCCGATGTGTAAGGTATAGTATAAATAATTGCTGATTCTCTATGTATTTCATAATTTGTAAACCACGAGTGTTTATTCAACCAGAAATCAGTCTGATACTGTTGAAATATATCCAAAATAGCTCTGTTCTGACTATTCAACTTGATGTCCCACTTAAACTTGAAAGTATGTAAATATGGTAACGATGCTATAATCAAATATTTCCAATCGTCAGCATTGAAAGGACCATTTATGTCATTTGTTCCAGATATTATTAGATTTGTCAAGTTTGGCATTAACTTTAAAAATTCTGCGAGCGCTTTAAAATCTAAACCACAGTATTCCATAATAAAGTATTTTAAATGAACAGCGGATACATCATAAAGGCGCATTATCTTCTCTCGTAAATCACTTTAAAAAAATCGGTTAATTTTTAAATATCTTAACATTGGTGCATATTTGAATATGTGATATAATTCATTTGCATCGCAGCTAGAAATTATTATCGATGTAAGTGACGTAGCTTGTTTAATGGACATGGAATCAACGTACTGTTGTGGCGCTGATAAGATATCACTGAGACCGAAGTCGGTAATAGTACAAGAGAAGTAGCTTAAATTTGTCAAGAATGGTAGCATTATTTTAATTTGTTTAGCGATATCTGCATTTAAATTAATTAATATTAATGATCGAAGATGAACAAGTTCATTAAGTGGAACTAATGAAAGAAAGGCTTGAATCTGTTCACATGCATCTTTATTTGCTAGTTGTAATGAAATTATTTGACTTTTGATTTCAGGATTTTTTGCTATTTTATGACAAAATCCATCAAATATTGATTTCCGAATATTTTGGAAGTTGATATGTAATAGAATGCTTCGTATTAGTGTATGCAAACGATAATTTAATTGATCAAATGAATAAAATATATCTGCTGGAGTTAGATATTGAAAACATTCGATGCAAATTTCATTGGGTAAAAGTTCGAATTTCGTAAACATTGTGTTTTTTTATTATATTACACGACGTGCCGTGTCTTCTATTGTGAGTGGCTCGTCTTGTAGACAACAATAATCATCACATGCAGCTTCTAGAAAGATATGAGATCAAACAAACATACATTCTGTAAGTATTTCATTTCTTATCTTTTCAAACAAAGTTGGAAAGAAAATAAACATAAAGATAACGGAACGTGTGGGTGTTGTGTCTTTGTCAAAACCCATACCCAACGTTAAATCTCTTCATTTGTTAGAAGTTCAATGTTAACGTTTCGATTTCGGACTTGTGTCTTGATGCCAAAGATAAAGTTTTTTAATTTTGTTATGCAAACTAGAAATTGATCATATAATTGATTAGCATCGATATAAGTCGAATCTAACAAATCTCAGACATGATTGTAACACTTCAAGATTTATCATCCTAAAAAGTAAGGGTGTGGTTATTGATATATTCCACACCTACACCCACCTATCTGTTGGTTAGAGCACTACCATTAACATTAATATTCATTCTATCAGTATGGTGATCTTTGGTCTAATCACTCGAGATAGTAATGATCTATAGAGATTAACTATATGGTATGTTAATGACATGCATTGTTACTCGAGATATGTTCATTTTTCTCACAAGATTTCAATATACCTTGACTCTCGCATTGGTTTGAATCGTTTTATTTGTTCCCTGCGAAATTAAGACAAAGATTAAGTTCATCATAAGTATCTTTTTTTTCAGTGAATGTAATCATCATTGCTTAGAAACAGGCTGATATTGAGGGTGTGGATGTCGATGAAAAAATGTAACTCACATCCACACTTTTTTTTATTCTATATAATTCGCCATATTATGCTACTATTGATATTAGATTTTATTCTACGTAATCAATATGAAGTATAAAACTTTTAATGAACACAATAACTTTTATTTGATAAATCATGGCATAGCTAACGAAGCCAATGTAAGATTGTATTTTTCTAATTCTGCTCTTTTTCCTTGAAAATCTTTGACAACATATTTTTGTGCTTCTTGTCTTAGCCATAATTTACTAGAATGATGTTTCGTTATTTTTCCAAGAATAACCCCACTAATGAATACTCCAACGACTAAGCCAATAAGGACAAAGATGATAATAAATACTATGACACAGGCAACAATTCCATTAGAATTAGTACCAGAACGACCCGTTGAAAACGGATTGAAATTCCAATTACCTGATCGACAAAGAATAATCATAGCAATAAAACCTATAAGTGCCAATAATATAATAACAGTAGTCAGATAATAGATTATAAATGTATTCATCCAATTGGGAAATTGATTTTTAATATTTTCACTTTTTTTATCAAGACGTTTGACTATGAAAGTTAAACCAAGAATGACTAACTGAACTAAAAGAATTAATGCTGTTGTATCACGAATAACAAAGGCATAATATTTCAATAATCGTGTTCGTTCAGCTTTTGGATCGTCGACAATAGTTTCGATAACGTATTCAAAATGACAAATATCACAAGATTTGAAACCTATACCACGTATGTTTTCTGATCGCCATCTATCTAAACATTGTCTGTGAATAAAAGCTGAACCACCACTACATAAACATGGACTAATAAGATCATCTGGATTATCAGTGTCTAAACATATTCGACATTGTTTGGATTCATCTCCAGTTGTGGTTGCCATAGTCGAACCTTCACTAAAACATAGTAATTGAAAAGAAGATGAATCATTTATATACCGTCGTTACAAGTCATAGCAAGAACAGAGAAAGATAAAGGGAATTATTTTATAATTTCAACAGATATGAAGCTCTTTGCCAGCTCACATGATTTTATTTTGAATTTCGTCAGAAGACATCAATGTGTGATAAAATATTAGCAAATATTTTGTCAGGAATGTGTCGTTGACGATGAGTGTGTGTTGTTTTACCGTGAAAAGAAAAGAGAACGTCGTCTTGTACAAGACACTTATACATGTGCTTTTTTCACTTGTGCAAGAGAGAAATTATTCATGAGTATCGTTGTCACACATATTATATGTATTATTCATAGTAAAGAAAATGCAGTTAATGTATTTTCGATGTTCTTTTAAAATATGATTCATCACATCATATTAATGAATTAGAATTTCGTCACAACAAGGTTAACATTGAAACCATTAAAAGCATGCAAGAGAAAAAGAAAAGTAACGTAACGTTTATATATAAAATCCTATGAAATTATCAATCTCAACTGACATAAAAAAATAAAATAAAAATAAACTTTCACACTTTAATATTCTGAAGTAACTTGTTTGAGTATAGTTCAATATGGTAAGTTGCGTGCAAAACATGTAATACTAGGGTGTGGGTGTGGGTGGGTGACGGAGTACGTTTAGATATTTCATTTCAATCGAACTCATATCTACACCCTCAAGATCCCATACTCTTTCTCACACCATTTCGTGAATGAAAAATGATGTATATTAAAAACGAATCAAAACTACTCTATTAGAAATAGAGTTAAATGCATACAAGTGTAATTATTCAAAAGTAATTCAATTTCAACTATGATTTCTTTCTTGACTCATTATAAATTTCCAGTATTTTCTTCCCACTCACGTGAGCCATTATGAAAAACAAATATAAGTTTTTCTCTTTCTTTTTGTATTCTTTAGTCGACAGGGAATCAACGAAAGGTATGACACATGGAGCAAAATAAATATAGATGTTTTTTTATGTTGTTGTATAGTTCTTGAATATTGTAAGATTTTCGACTTTATAGAATGGAGCAAATCAAACGTCAGCAATCTGATAGTTTTCATGAAAACAAAAGAAAAAAAATCGAATACCAAATACAAGTAGATGGGTAGGTAATAGAAAATAATTTGTTAATAGGAATATGGTTTTTCAAATAGGACTGGTACATATTTTGAAGATCTTGCAAATGAAACTGTTTATAATATATTCGATTATCTCGATTCTTATGATATCTATCAAGGTTTTTCTAACCTTAACAGCCGATTTTCTTCACTTCTCACGGAATTGAATCCCCCAGTCAGAATCAATATACCTCTTATGACTTCCATAACTTGTAATGATTACACTCGAAAGATGATTCTACCTAACACACGGAAAACTCATTTTCTTCGAATATCAAATTATTTCATGTTTAGTAATCAAGTATTTTCATTATTACATCAAACATCTCTTCGAAGACTTATTCTCGAAAATATTGAAGCACAACATTTAGAGAATATTATTCATCAATTAAAACCATTATTATACCTTTCTTCATTAAGCATTATTACTATTGATCCAGTTACAGATAAAAATCTGATTTATTCACAAATATTTCAATTACCTTCATTAAAATATTGTAAATTATCATTGGGAAATAGTTTTTTCAAGAAAATATTAGTATTAGCAAATAATATATTCAGTTCAATTGAATATTTAATTATTGATCATGAGATATACTTCCATCAACTCGATGCATTTTTCTCATATGTACCTCAACTTCGTCATTTATCATTAAACTTCTTATGTAAATGTGAAATAACTGCAAATTCTTTACCTTCATCTATGTTAAATTATGTAACGCATTTGTTTCTCAAGGTAGACAACCACACGGAATTAAATGATTTAGAATATCTTTTTGCCAGCTATTTTTCCTCAATACATGTTTCACAAATTTCAGCAGATGATAAATGTATGGATGCATATATGTGGCAACGTTTAATATTATTATATTTACCAAATTTACACGTTTTTGATCTCTTATTGGACGTACATTTACAGCATTCTTCTGGAAGAGGCTACAAAGAATATATCAACTCGGTGTTTACAGTTCCATTTTGGACGGAAAGGCGATGTTTTTTTGATTTACAATCATATCAAAAAAGACCTCGTGATCGTATGGTTTTCTATACAACTAATCCATACAGGTATTTATTGATAAAACTTTTAACTAAATAATATCAATTTCTTAAATTATCTAGGAGGAAAACTTACAATCTATGTCTGAAGTCGCTTAATACAACTATGAGTAACATACATAATTATGAAACAGTTCTAAAGTCAGTTAAACATGTGCAAATAAGCAATGAAATGGTAATGAATCAGTGTATTGAGTACTTTCCAAATGCAACACAACTTACTTTAAAAGATGAATATTCAACAGCTGTTTATGATTCAATTCCATTCTTTCTTAATCGTATTCTACCTTTACAACAATTACAAATTTTAATAATCGAATTTCATAATTTTCAAATTTTGAATATAGTCGAAATATTATTTGTTATGCCTAATCTTCATACATTAACAATTCAATCAATGCACGTTCTTTTTACTGAAAACAAAACAGTCTTGACACAAAACGAAAAATTTCAATCTGTATCCAGGACAAATTGCATTAGATATGTTACTTTTCGAGACATATGTACATTCAACAAAGTTGAACTACTTATTATGTTATTTCCACGTCTTCAACACCTTGAAATTAATATATTAAAGAAAGATATGAAATCGATATTAGAATTTTTGTTCAATAATAACAATGTAAATACTCATAATTTCGTTTTATTATGTTTTAAACGTGCAGGTAGAGTTCATTATCAACATTTTAATAGTTTAGTCCACACCGGGCTATTGCGTTTTCATCTTAAAGCAAAATACTTGAATGGAGCGTTATATTTATGGCAGTAATGTTCATTATTAGATATGAAATGTAGACATTTTTCTTATTTATAATAAACGAGAAAACACGTAGAAACGTATGATGACAGGACTTGCATCAATCTCCATACGATAATGTTTTAGAATGAGAAAGATTGTTGGGCATCATAAACCTTCGTTTTTGTTTTTTTTTTCGCTATTGAAAAATATTGGATGAGTGATGAGGATGAGGGGTAATCCTTCTATCACTCTACATCCTCACGCCCTTCGTCTTTGTGATGATGACGATGCTGGCGATGGAGGTGCTTTTCTTTGAGTAAAAACTTCATCAACGTCATCATCTTCTTTATCACTATGAACATCAAAGTGTTTTCTATTATCATCATCTCTTTCATCAACTCTACCAAATGTTGGTGAGGATGAGGGTGTTTTTTGTACTTCATGTTGAAGAAAATCATTGAGAACTTTTTCAAGTTTTTTATGTTGAAGTTTACATTCTTCTTTAACAATTTTCAGGTAAAGTTGTGTTGCTTTGAGACGAAAATCTCTTGACAACTTAAGTATACGTTTTTTATTCTCCTGGATCTGTTCACTTATAAGTGAAGTTTCGTCCATTATGGAAGGTGAAAGTCATACTAGAGGGTGTTGGTGTGGATACTGGAGCGTATAACTTTCAATGCCCACACCACCCTCAACAATTAAAGCATATTTGTCAAGTTGTTTGTATTGAAATTTGATTTCACGATGGTCACATCAATGTCAAATCATGAGTAATACAATGAATGTATCATATATAAAAATATAACAAGATTTTCTCTTTTATTTATTTTTATCTAATACTTAAATTTTTTCGAAACTATCTAGACGAAGAGTAAATGTTGCCAGACAATAGAAAATATGGCATTTATTATAAAATTCAATATATGATAAATGTTAGATTTTCTCTTTAATCACGTTCAGTTAAAATTTATTACAAACAAAATCTTGAAAACAACAATGAAATGACGCGAATAGTTATAATTATTGAAAATGTTTCGTAATGAGTTGTTGAGTAGAAAATTTACCGTTAACCACGAGTGTTAGATGATATTGTTTGTACAAGAGCAATTCTTGTTAATCGACAACATATCAATTTATTTCGGCATTCAATCAGACTTTGTCGCAGATCTGGTGTTAGAAATAGCAAAATAACCAGCATAGGTATGTAAGGTAAACTTGCCATCAAAATCAGAGTACGCATAGTTCTGTTAGGTAAAATATCGCTACGAATTATACTGAGAATAATAAGAACAAGTACTGGTATTCCGACCAGAGCCAATTGAGAATTTAGTAAAACAATACGACGAACCATCGTCAAGTCTCGTTGCATTCGTACTTGTTGATTATTATTGAGTCTTGCCGAAGCTTGACGTACATGACGTACTAATGATCGATAGATTATACTTAAAGTAATATTGGTTAAAAGAAATGCTACTATACCTAGATATAAGACTAAATCAACTCTTGTTAATGTTACGAAGCAAAAATTATCTGATTCAACTTTGACCATATTACCTGTTAGTAAAACTGGTAAAGCGAAAGTAAAATCAAATATCCATTGGAAAAGAACAAGGCAAATCTTTTGACGTTGAGTCTTCAGAAATCTAACTTGTCGAATTTTACAAAATCTCTCAATAGCTAATAAAATAAATGAATGATGAATACAAGCCATGATACTATGATGAAAATACGCACGCAACGGACATAATGAATCAATCTTAGGTTCTTGATCTTGGTCCCATATAAACATATAAGTAGATACTGCAATATGATTAGCTGAACAAAATAAGACGGCTACCGCAGTGTTACAAGCTAAGAGCGTAGGAAAGTTGAAGCATCGACGTCGATATAGCAAAGCTAACGTAAGAAAAGCAATTGCAACGGTACACTCCAAACAGCTAGTAAATATATATATTCTATTAATAATTGAGAGAAAATCCATGTTAATATTCGCTGATAATATTGTTAAAATACGGAATACATATGTATATGATATATGAGAAAGAAAGAGCAACGGTGAGAATGTAGAAAAAATGAAATAGACAAGAGTTTTTTCTAAAATAAAATATATGATGAAGTTGTTTTTTTTCTTTTTCCTTTTTTTATCTATCAATGAAGTTTTATGTAAAGTAGGAAATGCTTGAAAAATAGAAGCTGACATCAGACAGCAACTTTGATGATAACGCTTTTGAATGAGGTATGCTCAGTTAAACACATGAGGAAGATGTCAGTGCAATTGAGCATATCCCTTTGAAGAGCATCCACCACAAGAAGAAATAATACACCTTTGAACTTGAAGCGCCTACAGTGACTTAAAATAATCTTTGATGATTCGTATTGCTTTATCTATTTCTGAGATTAATAATTGTATTGCACGATAAAGCGTGAAATACCGAACGAAATATGCTATGTGAAATTTTCGAAGCTATATTTTGACTTTGGCAATGTAGAATACCATTGATATGAAGCTCTCTAATTCTTGAATTTATTATGCGTTTTTGCCAACAAAAGTATTTTATACAACATGAAGTGAGTAAATCAGAGGGGTGACTGTAGGTATGGATATCTATGGATACAACTAACCAAACTCACACCCACACCCACACCCTTAATTAATTAATGAACGCACATGAAATACATGAAACTAGTTTTCGCTCCATTTTAGATTAATATACTAATATTTGCTGTGTTTGTGTTACTAAGATTTTTTCAGTGATATTCATGTGTCAATCTTTATCTGATTGAAAATGAACAATTCAACTGATCATTTTGTTCAAGAAACTTCAAAAGGTATTGATAAAAATCGTCCTTATTCTGATATTGATGGAATATTTGATTGTGCATGGATTAAAGTAAGATAATTCGAGATTTAAATTATTCTAAAATAGGTGATTTATATCTTACCTTATAGTATACTGATGGTAATCAAACAATCCTAGATGAAATCAAAATATCAAAGAGTCATTAAAAATTTTTTTAAATAGTACGTAAGGATCAGTATAAATCTATCGAATAATTTTCTAGATCAAATGACGAATCAAGTATTGATCTATTAGATAACAATATTGAATTAGTAAAGTCTAGATTTAATTCACTGTAAGTATAGTACTTAAAAGCATAAAAATAGATTCGCCATTTATTCTATTATTTAGATTTCATAGGCTAACAAGAAATTTTTGGAAATACCGTAATGAATTTATTCAAATATGAAGGATGTTATTATCTATTTTCAAGTGATTTACCTAGAACGATGATTCCTGACACAACCTTCATTGAATTTACTTTTGAGACTCTCAAGATCATACCGTTTCTAGCCAAAACCAGCAAATGAATATTAGGAATCGACGCAGGAATCTAATGACTGGAACCGACCGTTTCCGGGCGGGATTATTCGACCTGGATATGCTTTACATAACTGCAGTACTTTACCTAGTGCTAATGGTTCGATTATTCTTGACTGTTATGGTAGATTAACAGGCATCCATATAGGAATCAAAAACACAAGGCAAAAAAAGGACATCGATATTTTTTTACAAACGAAACTTACAATAAATTGTTAGAGGGCAGACCTGGATGGTATTATTTTAGGTCTCCCTCATCTCTCCTTTCTTTGTTATTAAACCATATATATGTACACGATTATACAAAATAAAGCAGAAGTTAGATAGCGAACTATCAGGTTCGCACACCACCACTCTCTCTTTCTCTCTCTCGATTCTCTCTCTCTCTAACATAAATACTTGTCGATTAATACAAATCAATTTCAAGCATTTATTGATAAAGCAATATTGTCAAATATAAAAGATAGCGAAGCACAAAAACTATGGTCCTTTAAATTTAAATAAAACATCTTTTTTTTCCTATTCGTCTTCATATATGATTTTGTCACATATTTCGCTTCGTTATCTACTGATCTTGCATAAATTAATTCATTATCATTAACTGTTGTTTCATTTGATATTCTACCATTAATGTACTATCATGAAAGTGCCCTGTTTTCATCAAGAAATACATTTAATATATATATTGTTTATTTCTGAAAGTAATTGTTAATGTTGTTGTGCCAAGAGAATAGGTGGACATCCTCTCAAATATACTCCCCCCCCCTTATCACATTTATCTTTCGCTTGTTCTGTTTCTTTTCTCTTTCTTTTTCGTATTCTGATTTTTATAATATACTCAGTCTCAACACGAACACTTCGGATGA